TATGGCCAGGGAGAAAAGTCTCCTTCATGGTGGCATTGTTGTAGATGATTGACGGGGCCATCGAACCTTCTGCTGACAGCACAGAGGAACTCTCAATGAAAGCACCAATGTCGGTGTCAAAACCGGCAGATCTCGGGTAGGGGGTCCCGAACTATGCGTCTAAGGATCGAAGGTAACAGGAGGGAGGGGACACGATGTTTACCCAGGTTCGGGCCCTCTTGACGGAGGTAATACCCTACTTCCTGCTTGATTGACTTTGATGATTATAGGGGTTATAAGAGTTGATCTACCTCGAGATCGTAATGGCTAAACCCTAGGTGTCTAGCCTGTATGATTGTGATTGGGACTAAACCCTCCGGTTTATAGAGACACCGGAGGGGGGCTAGGGTTGTACAGAGTCGGTTTACGGAGAAAGGAATCTTCATATCCGAACGCCAAGCTTGCCTTCCATGCCAAGGAGAGTCCTCTCCGGACACGGGGGAAAGCCTTCTATCTTATATCTTCATGGTCCATCAGTCCGGCCCACGTCACATAGCCCGGACGCCCGGGGACCCCCTAATTCAGGACTCCCTCACCCACCTCGAAGAGCGCATAGCCTGGTTGGGGGAGGATGCGTCCGATGGGGTGGTTGTTGGCAGCGTCGCCATGGGCGGTGCCAGGAATGCGCTCGAGCCCGTCATTGCCCACCATGAGGGCGCGTGTCGCGGAGTTGGAGGGGGGCGCGTCGCATGGGGTGGTGTAGGTAGTGTCGTCAGGGCGCAGCGCCGGGAGTGCGCTCGAGGCCGCCACCACCCACCTCAAGGAGGCGCGTCACCGAGTTGGAGGGGGTGCGTCGTGGGTGGGTGGTGCGGTGGCGCGTCTGCGGCGGTGGTGCGGTGGCGCGGTGTGAACGACGGCCTGCAGAGTGGTTGAAGTGCGACGGTGTTTGGATAAGGACCTGGAAACGTTCCCTCCATGAGACGCCCAGCCCGAACGATTACCGAGCGTGACGTGTCATTAGCTCTGTGCCACCGCGCTAAGATATCTGACGGCAGAAAATACGTCATGACGCTTCGTGCCACATGCATATAACACTTATCATTTAGGTTATTTTATTACATTGATGATTGATCCACAAGCAAATCTTGATGAGCTGTACTGTATTTGGCTTCCAAACACGACCTTATCCGTAACGGGGGAGTCCACGGGCACCACGACGCCGTGCGCTTCGCTGGCGGTCCGGGCGGTATATAAATCGTCGGATTACTACCCGGGTACGGAATCGTCTCTGTCCCAAGAGGAATCGGATGCGACTCCGCATCTCGACCTAAAACCGCGGCTCGCCGTCGATCGAGGTGGGCCAGGTGCAGGCGGGCGGGCGGGCGGCCGGCCGTACGTGCAAATCATGGATGGGAAACTACGTTTTTCCGCTGAACCTGCCTCCGGGCTACCACTTCGCCCCGTCGGGAGACGAGCTCATCGTCCACTACCTTCGCCGGAAGCTGGACGGCCTCCCGCCGCACCTGCCCATCTTCAACGACGTGACGCCCATCACCGACTACCGCCCGGAGCAGATCACAGGTACGCACTCGGTCTCTCCCATCATCACACCATGAGTAGCGTTGGGTTGATTGATTTGGAATGCAAGCTAAAGCATGATTTGATGTTGCAGATGAGTTCAGGGACTTCGGGGAGGGGGCTCGGTGGTACTTCTTCACCAAGCGGACCCGCAAGTACGCGACGGGCAGCCGGCCGGACCGGACCACGCCGGGCAATGGCTTCCGGAAGGCCACGGGCCCCGTGAGGGAAATCCCCATCTGCCCCGGCGGCAAGCTGGTCGGGCGCGCGAGGACGCTGGTGTTCTACACCGGGCCGGAGAAGCCGACCCACTGGACCATGTACGAGTACGAGAACCGCACGTCCGAGGCAGAGGCCAATGACAAGAACGTCGACAAGGTGATTCATCTTAATGGGGTGTTTCCGTTGATCTATTTTGTTTCCTCTTCTCTCCATCGCGTGTCCGTGTGTGCGTGCGTGTCTGACAGGCCGACGATGATCATATGATTCATATCTTTGCATCGCAGCTTGGTGAGTGGGTCTTGTGCACGATACAGAAGAGTCAGCGCTGCGACCAGAAGAAAGAGGCAGGCGGCAAGGCTAAAAGCAAGGCAGGCGGCAAGAAAAGGAAGGGCAAGGCACGGAACGGCGCCGATCTAGTCCAGATTCAGAGCGCCGAGGTGCCGGAGATTGCGTGGCCGGAGAAAGTTGATGAGGCGTACGTGTTCGACGACCTGGAGCAGACAGGTTGCCCCAAGAAGAGACCACAGATTGAGCAGCATGAACCGCCGCGCTCAGAGACAATGATGGTAGACGACTATGACTACAATGGTATCCAATACATCTGGGATGATGAGTACATGCCGCCGCCGCCGCTGCCGCTGCCGCTGGAGTATGAGGTGGCGCCTCATGTTGCAGGAGTAGGATACAGCTACAACAACATGATGTATCAGCCGGCTAACAGCTACCTACATGCTGCGCATTACGCGGTGGAGCAGGATGGGTACGCCGGCGGACATCTCGGCAGCCTCTTGGGCACGGGCAACATTCCATGTGCTTACCGGCCGCAACATTCTTGCGCCGCTGGAATCACCAACTTGCCATGGAGCAGGGGGGCGACGACGAGCGGGCAGGTAGAGCCGTGAGACCAGGGGCCTCTGGTTCACTTCGGTGTGGTTCGGGGAGCCTACAGAATAGATTTGCAGGATGAGTAGGGGATTTATAGGACTTGCAGAGAGCGCTCACTAGGGGTGTGTTCGTCGTCAACTCGTCATTAGGGTATATGTAGTAGTCCCTCCGTAAACACTCTTATATTAGTTTATAGAGGAAGTAATAGACTAATAGTACGCTTTAGGATGTCTGGTTTTTGTGTGTCATCTTTTGTTTGTCGAGGTCTATTTTGCTGCCGTATATATGGAGGCGGACGTTTGGTCTATGGGGATATATGTCCGTGGAATCCACATCGTGTGTAAGTGTGTTGCGATCCCGTTGCTAAAGTAGTGAATTAGGAGATACGGGAGGCTCCTGCTGTGCGAAAACGCGTTATACACAGCTGCCAAAGTGCTATACTGTCAGAAGGACAGGCTTGGACAGCATCTGGTACAGTGTTTTCACGTAGTAATCTATTACTATATCGATGCATAAATGCTGCTCTACTGACACACGCCTCGTCCTGTTCTAAGGTGGCTACTGTCAGGGGCGTGTCCCTTCGGAATTTTGAACGGTAGTAAAGACCAAACAAACTTTTAAAGCTCAATTAAATCATTTTCGGTCGTAAAGCTATATCAAAATTGTTAGTTGTTGGTGTGATTTTTATTAATATTTCTTGCCAACAATGTTACTTATCTATATTTTTTAGTGGCACGGTTAGCAGTTGTCTATTTAGTGATTACCAAAAAAGTACAAAGAAAAACTGAAACTTTTTGAAATAATCTCGACTTTCTTTCATACTCGTATACATAGTTTCAAGAAGGAAAAACAACCATTGAGTTCAGCGAAACAAAATTCAAGGACAAAAAAGTATGAATAGTAACTTGTATATATATTCAAATATTCAAAAGTTGTTCATTTAAAGTGTATATACATGTGACATGGAAAAAATTTAGTAACTGAGAAAAGTCAAAAAAATCTGAAACATTTTTAAAAATAAACTTGACCTTCTTTCACTTGTATAAAAAGTTTCGTGAAGGAAAAGCTCCCATCGACATTAGAGAAAAATATCAATACTTCTAGTATAGAACGTGTGAATGTGAATGGTAACTTGTACTCCCTCCGTTTCGAATTACTTGTCTTATATTTTTCTAGTTACGGAGGTATCTAGCACTAAAATGAGTCTAGATACATTCGTATCTAGACAAATTCAAGACAAGTAATTCGGAACGGAGGGAGTATATTGTGTTAAATTTATTTTGTTCCACCAAGAATGTCATGAAAAGTTATTCCAGCAAAAATATTTTGCGATCCCAATTTTTTTAAATTGAAAAATAAATATTCAAATATCCAAATAATAATAATTAAAAGCGAAGCTTTTTTAACAGTGCCATCCTCTTCATGGTGTCCCGATCAAGTTTTACTTGGGAAGGGAAGAACAAAGAGCATCACAAGGCAGGATCGAGTTATGCCAATAATCCAGTCATGTAATACATCCTTGAATTAAGTCAGGTAATAATGTCTAGAAAAATACTCGCAAAAGAATGTCTAAAAAGCAGGAATGGTAAAAAGACTTGGCTGCTGAGAATTGAGTGAGCGTGCATGTTGTAGTTAAGCCACTAATCGAGACATGTAATACATGCATCCATGAATTAAAGAAAAGGTGTCAGCGTCGGCGGTGTTGTCACTTGTGAGCTGCCAAGAGCATTAAATAAGATGTTGGGTCACAGCTGCAGAACAGGTCAGAGAGCATCTTATACTAGGGGATACAAAGCAGAAAAGACATGATACATATAGCGGGGTGCTGATCAATCGGGAAATGAACGGTGAGATTCAAGGGACAGATGTCCCATAGACCATTGGGTATTTCCCCCGTATATATCTGCTTTAATTGTGTTTGGTGATCATGGCTGCATGCTAGTCGATGGACGCCATGATGCGCAGAGAGAAACACTCGGAAAATATACAAGATTAAAACACAGATGGCTAAAGAAAACAGGAATTGAACCTTGGACTTTATTATTTCATATTGAAGTTTAGCAGCATTCTTTTTAGCTAATACATTGATATGCACTTTGGCCACCGTTTATTCTACACGACCGGCCGGGAGCTAGCACGTACTCCTCCTCGATCCACAAACACACTTGCTGGTAGTGCACGACTTACTAGTAACTACACCACATCGTAAATTAAGCCAGTATTAAGTACTAAGTACTAAGTACTGGTTTGATGCATGTTTTCTTTGTTTACTTGTACTTAAATTATTCATTAATTATTAGCATAAGCGCGTGGATGGCCGGCCGTCCTGTCCGTGCTTAGGGCTTCCGCTTGCGCATGCCAGGGTAGTACCCGCCACCGCCGCCGGTGCTGTTGCCGCCTTCGCCCTCGCCGCCGCCGGGTGGCATGTCGTACCCACCTCCTCCCATGCTGCTGTTGCCGCTCATGGCCGGCGCGAACTTGGCCTGGATCCAGTCGACGGTGTCCTTCTCGGTCATGAAGGCCTTGGCGAGGATGAGGTCGCTGATTGGCGGCGTGGACCCAAAGACGGCGTTGGCGATGGTGATCACACCGGCGTCCTGGCTGCTGAGCGCCGCGATGGCCACGGCGGGCACCTTGCCGTTGTTCACCTGGAAGTGGATGAGCCCCTGTGGGAACACGAACACGTCGCCCTCCACTAGCTGCTTCGTGAAGAGCAGGTTCTTCCCGTCCTGCTGGTTGGAGGTGACGAACCCCACCAGCAGCTGCCCCATGATCACGGTGAGGATCTCGGTGCCGCGGGGGTGTGTGTGCGGCGGGTTCTGCCCGCCGTTGGGACCGAAGTCGATGCGCGCCATTGAGATGCCCAGTGTGTTCAGCCCCACTAGCTGCTTCACCGTCACCGGTGTCACCGCCGAGCCCTGAGCGTTCAACATGCCCGGCTTGTTAAGCCCGGGCAAGAAGAAGTCGTTTGCCGTCACCATCTTCATGTTCTTGCACACGAACCCATTCACAACCACTGCATGTATACACAGTTGCACATCCAAAGTTAAATCTTACCATGTTGCATATTACTATTTACTACTAAGTTGATATATTTCATAATGTAGTGCGTATATTTTCTTTAAAGTCAAACTTTACATACTCTGACCAAGTTTATAAAAAAATATTTATATTTACAATATCAAATATATAAAATATAAAACTACAACTTATGACGAGTTCTAATGATTGACGCTTGTGATTGGTGACTTAAACATAAGACTTTTCCAATCAATTTAAAAATATTTTTTACTGAGATTAAATTTAGGAATAAATATGCTCTAAACTATAACCAATACTTAGACGTCCCACGTGTTTGCACATGCATATGTAGGCATGCAAACATGCTGCATGCATGAAAGTAATTAAGCATGTAATCAATCAGAAGATGAATATATCTATATACCAGGATTCATTATATCAGCAACGCAGAAGTCCTGGAGCTGGGTGGGGTCAGTGGCGAGAACACGAGGCGCCGGAGAGCAGACCACGAGTACCACCACAGCAAGCAGTGCAGCCAAGGCACGGGAAGCCGCCATGGTTTTTCTTACCTAGCTAGCTTCCCTGACAAGACCTAACAATGTCTGTCAGGGTAATTAAGCTAGTGTGTTGAGCTTGGTAATTGTACGCTGGAAGCACGTATCGGGGTGCCTATTTATACAGGCATAAAGGTGGCCGGGGAGTAGTGGGCTAGCTGCATGCTCTACCAACAACATGGTACACTAGCAACAATTATAATCGGTCACTAATATCACCGTGTAGTTTGAGTAGGCATCCACGATACTGCTACTAACATTGCTAGCTTACGTATGATCGGCTGATTATTTCTCACAGCCCCACTAACTGTTTGTTTATACAGGGTGACCACGTGCGTAATATCCATTGTGGAAATTCATACGTGCACCATTTTCGGTGGAAGAACTTGACAAAGATAATGGTTCTTTTTTGGGTTTTAGTTTGCAGCATGGATCCACTGGTAACTTGCAGAAGCTGGAATACGAGGAGGGTGCGTATGATGGTGGGGAGTGAACGCCTTGAGGTCGTTGTGATGGAATTCCCTGCTACTAGTTGCTGGCGCACTCACAGTCGACCAACTTTTTTTTCTCAATAAAGGATATTTTCATTCATTCGTTATATGGAGTTGATACAACCGCAATGAGCAAATAGAGTGACATCTTTCTACACAAAATAGAAAAACAAAGCGAGCCTAAGATGGAGTTCTTATTCAAATGTTACACCGCTATCAATGATGGAAGAAAATATTCCTGGCCGTAAACTTCAACTGGGTAGATGCCATCATAAAAAGATCCTGCCCACCGGACTTTGCAGACGACTAGCTAGGTGATGCACTGGTGTCGATTCTACTTTGATCGTCTTTCTTAGTTTCTTTGGTCCGGACTATTGGGCAACCATGTTAGTCATGGTCCTTTTGATTTCCTTCATCAATCAATGTAGTTATCTAATCCCCATTAATGAGTGTTTCTAGGCTTTACAACTATTTTGGACAAATCCCTGTTAAACATCCTAGTATTCCTCTCCTAGATAATATGTTCAAGATCGAGAATCATAGAGACTAGTCACTAGAACTTGTACACGTCAACTCAATTATATTAGATAGTATTATTTGTAGAAACTATTTTTAATGCTTGTGAGAATATGATGTTGTCTATCTAGCACGGACAAGAGATACAAACAATGAAGCGTGCTCAAACATAAAGATGGAAGCAAGCACACAAGAAATGAAGACGTAGCCTAAACCAAAGATTTCAAGACTTTGAAACAACCGTATAGCGATGCATCAAGATATGGACTAAATCGTAGGTGGCTCCATATCTATATGTAGATGCTATCTATAGGTGCCACCGAACCTTATTATTGGGTAAACCCATAGGACATGTAATATCGGGCTAAAACAACGAGACAATTTTTTGAGTTGATATTTAGGGGAGAAACTGGCCAAGAGATAAATTTGGTCGCCCCTCCCTTGCTTGGACGAAATCTCCTTTCCTCCTTAAATATAACCACTCAAATGTTACTTAGACATGACTTTACGCTTCATAGCTAGAACTCGTGTACTTTTTTTTTGTATGGAACGACCAAGCCACAGCTGCTTTCGGAGCACATTTTTTCATTATTACATCATAATTATCGGTATCGTACAAATTGTGATTTTCGTAGTTCTTGCTTGTTCTCCATTGCATGTAGGAATTAGATCTTCATAGTCAGGTTGATCGTGTTCCGACGTGATCTATGACTTCTTGGAGTTAGTTTAGTGGTTGCTAAGATGCATCATAAGTGCACAACGTACTTAGATCGTCAAAGTTGTCTTCACCCAAACCAACGGAGAAATTTTCATCGAAAGATCAAGATATACCCCTAGTGCTATCACCACAACTAGGTTGTGGTCAAAGTGTGTATGGGTTTTGGATATGTTCATGACTATGAATAGGATGACTCGTTGGAACCCATTACCGTGCCAAATGACACATCGTCCAAAGACTAGCATGGTAGGCGAGGTTAACCACAAACCCCTAATTTTGCTTATAGTGAGTGTAAAATAGTGGAAGACAGAACACACAAACACTTCACATAAAAATGCCTTTTTCACGAAAAATAGGCGAAATAGGTGACTATTTTTCAGTCAACTATCCATAGCCTCCCAAAATCAAAAATTTCTATCCTTTTGTAATTGTCTAGTCAATCTGTTCTCAATAGTGTTAGATTGATGAAAGACAACAACACCGTTATTCATTTCATTAATGAGAGTAGAGAATACATGAACAGGGGATTAGTCATGTATCACAACATGAGAGGAGTTGTGTTGAGACAACAACATGGCAAGAAAGAAGAAGGAAAGAGGAGGGCCATCCTCTTTCATTGTCCTCACCAATGAGAGGTTGCACTAGAACACCGCCACTATAGACGAAGTGCTCCAATCAGCTGAGACCAAACCATGATGCTTCGAAAGTATTGGCAAACCAAAGGGCAATGGGTAGCTGAGTCCACAACGGCAAGAGCCACAAGCATCAGACGCTACGACACAACAGCGGCATGACAGGACAAATCAAAGGGCATCAAGTAGCCATAGTCCACACCTAGATTGCTTTACCATGCACACCATGACCGCATGCAGAAGGAAAACTCCGGTACATCCAAACCATATCAAGGATAACACCAACATAGAAGAAGCAGAGCAGCCACGCCACCGCCAAATCTTCTAATCCCCACCATTCGATCCTGCTACAAGACAAGGATCTCAAGAGGCACA